TTGAATCAAACCTGTTCATAACCAGCCTCGTTGCTCTATGATACATCCACCCACAGGTAGATGAACTTTTACTTTTTGAACACTTTCCCTCCTCCTGGTTGGGTATCCGGACATTTCTATTCTGCAAAGTCCAAATCCTACCCTAAGCTCCTGGAACATTTGACTTCATACATAGGCATATCGCGCATCAGATCTCGCTGGCTGCGCGGCTGTATAGATCTTTGGCAAGAGCTTATTTCGTAGTTCTCGGGAATGCTTAAGCCTCCTTGTGCGATTTCCTTTGCTCGGGCCGTAATGAGAAGTGCAGTGGAGTGGCAGAGCTTGCAGGGGCACAGTGGGATTGAAATGGCTTGCTGTCTATCAAAGTGTCCGGAATGGAATATAGCCACGGTGCTCTCGCGCCCAAAGCCACAGGTTGTATGCAGGGATCTGGCACAGGCAGACGTGTTTGAGTGAACTGAAAGGTTGCAACCATTACTGCTGAGTCACCGTAGTTAGCTGTCATTTTGGGCAAATCTATCTCTTAAATTGAATAGAGACCAGGCTTGGAACTGGAGGGCTGGCAACATGGGATTGCAAAACATGTTAAGCTGAATGCATATTTGTATGTGTGACTTTTACACGCGATATTTATGTACTAAAAAAAGTGCATCAACCATTGTCATTTCAGTTATATTATGATTATACAATTAGGAAAAATAATACAAATTTGAATTAAACGATTTTCAAGCCAAAGTAAGGCATGTTAAGTGAGTAATTAAGTATGCATTCTTTATTTATACAACACCTTTCACAGACCACAGTCACAAAGCGCTTTAAAATTGTTGTTGGCATTTGTTTCTCACTCACACTCTCATCTCTATGTGAACTCAATCAATCAATGTTTTGATTTCAATTCAGGATATGTCTTTATCATAGATTGGAAAATCCCCACATACAGACAATTCCCTGGAAAGCTGCTCAAACTGGAATTTCTACCTATGACCTGGAAAAGGATTGAGGTGCTCCCACTGTACAGAGAATATGAGCTCCAATGTGATGTCTAAAAAATAAAATAAAATATAAAAAGTTGATCAGAATTATTAAACACCAGGGTAAGGGTTATTCTTGCACTGATTGTACCGTGCAATATTGTGGAGATGAGGCATTTGTGGAGATGAGGGTCCTGTATGTTTGTATCCAACAGCAAAGACAAAGACAAATTTCTCTTTGGGTACAATAAAGCTGAAATGTGAATTTAGTCTATCATTATCTATCATCTATTTTAATTTATCATAGTGAGTTGATAAACAGAATTAAATTTAGTTTTGAACAATATTCTAATTTTCAGAGTTTTGCCTGTAGGACGGACAGTGAAGTAGACTGACAAATCCCTGCTGCTTTTGAGTAAAAGACAGTAGGATGTGTGTAAAAAATAATTAGTAATTCTGAGTGCCCTGAGAGCCAGAATTCCAGAAACACTGGCCTACGTAAAATAATACATTCTGCATCAGTTAGATTTTTGCCTTGATTTTTGGCCAAACGCACAATTTGTAATTCAATGAGTTTAGCTCTAGATTTTAAACACACTTTCTTATTCATTAAAAACTAGGGATGCACTGAACTTGTGTCGGTGTTGCACTTCAACACCGATACAAGTACGATTACCTTAAGTTGAGTACTTGCCGATACCGAGTACTGCGTTGAGTTATTCTGGGAATTCATAAAACTAATACAACTTACCTTTAAAATGTTTTAGTTCTCATTTAAAAAAAAAAAAAAATGCTTTAACAGGTAAACATTTTAGCAATTGTTTTAACAGTTAACAATAAGTGTTGTGTAATGTTGTACAGTGGGTATTTTTTGTGCTCCGGTGCTAACTAGCTCCGGTGCTAGCATGGAATAAACCGTGTCAGTGAGTTTTGAGATGTTTTTGATCAAGTTTCTGGTGTTATACTTGTTTGTTTTGGATCCGCTTTACTCTTTTCACCCATATCAGTATCGGCGTATTCATTAATTAATTCATTTTCTGCCCCTTTAATAGTCAATTTCTGGGTCGGAGGGGTTGCCACCCAGTCCATCGCTGATCCTCTAAAGGCGCCGCGCCTTGGTGTTTCAGCGGGAGCTTCAGGCAATGTGGGGTTAAGTGTCTTGCCCAAGGACACAACGACAGAAGACATTAGTGGGAGCAGTTGGAGTAGGTTCCGTGTTGGGTTCAAATCCTATTTTAAACCATTTATTTGAAACCATTACATTTTACATAAGTACATGTAAGTCAGTTTACCATCAGAATGCATTCCTGAATCTTACTGCGGCAAAAAGAGCGTTTCAGAGCAGATATAATCACATCCTCTTGTCAAGCACCTGCCTCACTTCCAGAGGGTCTAGAGGAGGCGGCCCTCAGGAGAGCAGGCTCATGTGTGCGCCTTCACTGACCACTACACAATGACCACTACACACTGACCACTACACACTATGCCTCGATGGCCCATTACACGCTACACTGACCGTAATGCGAGTCGTGCATGCGGCTGATCTGCGCTCTCTGTTAGATCATCTGGTTTCATACTGTAAATAGACCGAATCAGATCTGCATTTATGTTACCAACCAAAAGGAGGCTCCTAAAGCAAAGAAAAAAAAAGAAAAAAAATTAACTGTTTCAAAAGTACATACCCAAGGCAACTCAAAGTTCTTAACAAAACAACATAGAAAAAAATCACAAAGGGCATTAAAATAAATAATCGCAGTATGTTATAAAGAGTGAAGATAACATTATTTTTCCTTCCTGGATTTAAACATTGTCAGAGAAACAGCCTGTCTCACATTTTCAGGAAGACTTAATCCAGTTTTAATTGGTGAAGTAAATGGCCTTTTCAAAGAGAAAGGGTAAAATTGTAAAAGTAGAGTCAATACAGAAAAGACGCTCTAATGAGTTCTAAATAAAAGGAACTAAAGTCAGACTAATTTACAGGTCCAAACACACAACACAAAAGTCCAAAAATATTGAAGACTCGTGTCCCTCCAATGACGACATCACACCTTGGTTTATTGCTGGTGGTGCAGATTTGGCCGCGGTGAAATCCCATTGGCCAGACGGGAGAGCTCTATGGCAGTGTCCAAGAGGCTCAGGTGGGAACAAAGACTAACACACAAAAGGAGACAAAATAGCACAGAAAAAAAATAATTTCTTTAAAAATGTTATTGCAAAAAATGATGAAAAATAAGTAAAAAAGTCCTAAATTTTGGCAAAATTCTAGGTAAACGCCACTTGATTCAAGCTATTAATGCATCATATTGTTTTGCAGTATAACAGGTTATTTAAGCAGTTTTTTAAATATATATAAATGGCTTTTATTTATGTCTTGATTAACATTTTAATTTCCATTTTAGAAAAGTATTTAAATGTCTCATGCCTTGTGGTCATGGAGCTCACCGGGTCAGGTGTGCTGTTGCTATGCACACTGTTCTTGCTATGTTCACGTTGCTAAGGTCAGTGCATCTTTCAAAAACGTCACTGTGGCAGAAAACTTAAAGCCTCTCTCGAGATTTTTTGCAGAATTACAATCCAAAATACGACAAACCGGAGAGACATCTTCACCCATCTACTGACAAGGACCACAGGACTTTTGAGGGGAGAAAAGCGTGAGTGACTTTTTCACTTTCACACTTCACTTGAGTCCTATGAGATTTTACATGTCACACTAAAACAGCAGACACAATAGAAAAGCCCTTATATCATATGTAAGTTTCTCGAGCTATAAATGTGAAGTACACACAGGCAGCTGCTCACACGCCTTGAAAACAACCACCACCTCATACTGTGACTATTGCAGACACAGAAAAAGTACACATTAGTTTTCCTGGAGAAGTCTCAGTGCTTAAACCTGCGGCACAGTGGCTGAGTGGATAGCACTCTCGCCTCTCAGCAAGAAGGTCCTTGGTTCGAATCCCGGTCGGACCAGGGCCTTTCTGAGTGGAGTTTGCATGTGTCCCCCGTGTCTGCGTAGGTTTCCTCCGGGTACTCCGGTTTCCCCTACCACTAAAAACATGTCCAATAGTTCTGGCATGCGCCTCCTGTACTGGCCCCGCTCCCATCTCTGTGTGGAGTGAGAGACAAATGCCCAAAATTAACAATTGTAAACCTCTTTGAGACTCAGATCTGCAGTGAAAAGGCGGTATATAAATAAAGATTACTTACTTAAACCTCAAACAGCCTTTGCCCAGTTCTGTTTTTGGGCAGCGCTCAGAGGGACTGTCCACCTGAAGTACATGAGTCAGGAATTCCATTCAATTTAATGCATTCTTGTATAGCCCTAAATCATTACAGTAGTTCTCTCGTAGGACTTTAAAAAATCGTTGAATTCGCCAACACAGATCAGAGAATCAAACAGTTCAAACTCATGAAATGCAACGATAAAAAAACACATTGATCCATAAGGGGCAGATGACCAATGTCCATAAATGTTGATAAATGTCTATACATTTTGTGAAATGTCGAGTACCCTGGATCATCAACACTGTCCTCAGACCCTCCCACCATGAAAAAGACAATAGTGCAGTGGGTGAATAGCAACGAACAAACTATAGGTCAAGCAGTGCTCAAGTTACCATACTATTTCTATCTATTTCATATGAATATGATATCACATTAACCATGCATTAAAGCGGGGGTCCCTCACTTTTCCCCTTCATAAATAATGCATTATGTTTGTCCCAACACCTTTGGCAAGTTTGTAAAGATCCATGTGTTTTAGAGAGCTGAGAGCGGATTGGCTGAGTGAGGACGCTCCTCTGTTTCTCACTTTTCTGTCTGAAAAAGCTGATCTTAATTTGTGGCTGAGGTTAATAATACATGCATATCTAACTTGTGTGGTTTGGATTTTTGGCAATATTTCCAGCAAGTGACATCAGCCATTAAAGCTTTATAATAAAAATTGTAGATGTATTATTTCATTTCTTGTGTATGTGTCTGAGTCCAAGCTTTTGTATGAATCAATTATGAGTTTTGGATTTTAGAAGTATGCTGTCCACTCTAGACCATGTCTCAAACTGCTTTATGTTTCTCCCCACAGAACTCAGACCCAGCAGCTTCAGTGACAGCATGGTAAAATGGTGGATTCAAAACGTACACACCGACTGTAAATGTAGTGATGTAATAGAAGACATGTCTTTATTTTATGACTGCCCAGGGCGGCAGGAAGAAGTTCCCATCTCCAGCTCCGAGGGCCACCCGCATCCGTGGTCAAGGCCCTGCTCCAGCCTCCTCTACAGCTCTGGTTAGTCTGCTGCTGCTGCTGCTTCAGAGTCATGAGTGTTGAGCCGTGTGTTGTGTTGTTGCAGCTGCGTGAGGACAGAGCCGGGCCCTCCAGCGCTGGGACCCCTGGACCGCCTTCTCAGGTAAAGCTCACACACTTTCTCTGATCCAGAGGAGGAGGAGAGGCACATGTGCTGCAGAAAGAATCAATCGTAAAACAATTTTCATACAAACATGCAACAGAAAGTGATTTAAGTTACACACACCTCCAACAGGATCGAACCCTGGAGAATCACACAATAATGTTACACAAGTTGAGAAGTTTGTTCAATTTTCTATTTGTCTTTGACGCAAAACTATTCCTTGTTCAGGCTCCCAGGAGGTCTGCTCGTCTGCGGACACCTCCTCCTGAGGAGGTGCAGGTGAGTGTGGGACGCTCTTACTTCTTTACTGACTAGAAGCATTTGTAGGTGTTCTGTTCTGACTGCAGTGTGTGGACAGCCCAATCCCTGGGCCCTCCTCCCCTGGCTCTTCCTCCAGCTCCTCTGGCTCCTCCTCGGGTCCTCAGCGTCATCATGGCCTGGTGAGTGTCCTCCTGCTGGTTTGTAGTGAGTGTGTGATTTCTAATGTGTGTGTGACAGGACACCTCAGGCTGGCAGCTGCCCCCCTGGCTCCATGTGTGGGACAGGTCCCGGCTGTCAGAGGTACAGCAGCAGTGGACATTAGAATACTGTTAGTCACAGGTCAAACTGACACAATACTAACTCTAGCTTGAGTGTAATCGCTCTCAGATTATTGAGCCGATGCTTCCCAACCTGCACCACACGAACGAGCCAGTCTGGTGCTACGTCCGAGGCTCAGAGACGATGATGGTGACTCTCCCCTGGACGCCTGACTCCATTCTCCAGGAGATCGGGGAGACCCTGGATTCCATCGCCCCCTCATTCGCCCCCTTCCTCCTCGCTACTGCTTATCAGTCAGTGATGAGCAACGAGATGTAAGTGCCTCTCTGTGGACCTCAACATTCTCACTCACGTGTAACTTCAGGACAGGACTAAGGTGTGTAGCACTTCTTTATTTACTTGTGTTTTTCTTATTTGCTAATTTCATGTTGTGTTTTTAGATCTGTACCAGAGGAAAGGGACATGGATCCAGTTCAGATTTGTACGGATCCAGTACGAGTTGGTAAAGTTAAGACTCATTCCAGATTAAAACAAATACTAGCATTTAGGGCCCTGTACTGAATATAAATGTCATTTGTATTCATATGATTCTTTTCCAGAATATTGAGGCTGATGACACCTCCTGAGCACCAGGCTGGAGACATTCTTGTCTTCAGACTTGAGAGGAGCTCTTCCCCAAAGTCCTCACTGTCTGTACAAGGTATTTGGAACATTATTTGTAAATATGAGAACTGCCTCAGAGGATAAACAGCATGTTCCGAATCTGATTGGATTCATATGGCTCAAATCAGTCCATAGTTATTGTTCACTTTCCTCTCACTTTTTATTACGATTTGATTTATGTATCTGTGTAGAATAAACTGAAACGTGATGGATCTCTGTTCTCACTCAGATACAGAAAAACTACATTGAGAATGTAGACAGCAAGACATCCCAGAGACTATTCTGCCATGAAGGACCATAAGTACCACAAGGACCATAGAGGACCATGAGGACTAAGGCTCCAGGTCAATGTCCAGAGGCCTGAAATCCAGCGAGCACAGCGAGCACTGCAGCCACATTCAGCAGAGGAGGTGGGTATAATGTGTAAAACTGTCATGAGAAACTTTAGCCTCATGTTCTTCTTTATTTCCTGCAGCCGACCACCTCAGCCTCACGCATCAATGTGCTTCAGCCCCATCCCGTGCTGTTATGTCAATTGGCAAATACATCTATATTCTGTACACATGTTTCTTGCATTTATTTCACCCATCACCGCATGTCTTCCATACATTTCCCCCTGGACCTGTCATGTTCTGGGTCTGCATCTGGGCTGTGAGATTCACCGCCATAACTTCCTCTGCTCGGTCCTTGCGCCACAGGACACAAAGCGAGCGCCCCCCGCACACACAGTCTCCCTCTCTGAGACCTCTCTGCTGTTCAGCTCGTCCTGGGCTGCCCCGATGGTCCCTCAAAACTCAATGTGAGACAAGGATTTTCAAGGCCTTATTTAAAGCCATACAATGGACATACATTTTGGGACAGATGTGTTGTAGCTTTGATCCAGAGCTGATAAGCACCCGCACCCGTAGATCCAAGCGCAAGTCTTCATTGTGTAGCTTGAGTCCTGGATCTATAGCCCGGCCGTCAGTGGGATCCATCCCTCAAAGTGATTCTCCCCAAGGTTTCTCACTTTTTTACCAATGGGTTTAAGAGTTTCTCCTTGCAGATGCAGGAGGGTCTGTTAGATTGTTAGTGTCTAACAAAAATGACTGTGGTGAGGATCCAGGACACTCAACATTTAATGCATGTTTTGTACCTTGGACCTGTGTTATGTATTACTGCTAAATATTATTATCTCAAGAACTGAACCTATTTCTTCAGCTCCCTCATGGAGAGTTTTAAGTCTCTATTTATTTTATGTTTATTTAGGTATACAGATATTTTTTTATATGTTTTTTTATTTCAATTTTTTGTTTTCAGTACAAAAAGATTGATTAAAGCTGGCAGACTTGTATATTTTCATACGTTAATTTGATCTGTTTCATAAAATGTGCTATATAAATAACGTGGATTGGGTTGTTCTGACCCCCATTGCTAACAAGTATCTATATCTTAAGCATCTGCGTCATTAATATCTCAAGTCATGACGTCTCTGTTCTTATGCACATCATATAAAGAGCTTTGTCTTCTTTCGTTCTATCTGGAAAATAAAGCAGGTTACAAGTGCGATCGCTGCTGTCTCTGTCTTGATTTCTCCACATGATCATTACATTTCCACCTTTTAATCCTGTAATTTAGGGAGATTATGAGCTGGATGAATTCCGGAGACTACGTGAGCCATGTCGGAGTTACAAGAACCCCCATAGGAGCTGGAGAGATCACAGCATCATCAGCATGTCTGACCTAAACCTTCCCTATCCCTGCTGTCCCTCTGGCTCTTACTGTATATGCACCGATTACAGTGGGAATGAGTCACGGAGACTGCATACAGCGTAGAGGCCAAAAGATGTAAGAATAAGTGTGAATTTGAAAAAAATGTGTTCATTGGAAGTTATGTAGACAGACAAGAAATCAACATGGACATGTGAAAATCAGAAAATTGCTCAAAAGTGCATTGAAATCAACTTAAAATGTGGAAACAAAACATGATATAGACCTATTACATGCAAACATGTAAAAGGCCAAGCCTTTGTATCAATGGTGTAGGTTTGGTTCCAATCTTGGTGGGGACATTCACTTCGACCTGAGTCTACACCCATTGACACGGGGTCCAGAGTTTCCCCCCCCAGAATTTGTTGTGTGATCACACACTATATTTGCAATAGTATGTTGCCTTCTATACTAAACTCAGCTGTAGACTGAATGAGAAGCAGTTAAGGATTTTTTCTAATAGTTAACACAAAATCAATTGGATCAGAGCTTCTGAGTTTTGTGTTGCGTTCATTCTATACTGACTTAAACCTAATCCAAATCTACATAATAGCCCTCACCTGAGGCTCTAACAGTTCAGGAACTGCTCTCGATACTTGAAATAAATCATGCTCTGATCTTTCAATTTCCTATAATAAATAAAAACAGAGGAGAAAATATTGAATTAGAATCTACAGTGAGTAGCTCACTACATTGTTTGACATATACGATCAATCTCTAAAAACAATTCATAGTCCCATGCATACCTACAAAATTCCAACCTCACCTGATGCACTGAAGGGCCTGTTGCTTCTACCTCAACATTCCCTATATTGTTCTCTCTTGTTGGTTGAGTTTCCTATGTATGTTAACAGAAGATTAATCATCACAATTCATAATTTGCTATTACTTGTGCTTTCTCTTACTTACTTTCCAACTGTTAAAAAAGCTCCTGATATCTTTTATCTTTTTTTGTGGAGGTGGCATTTTTTCTAAATTATATAAGAAGGTATAGACAATCAAAAACAGACATTCATATACATGAACTGCAGAATCATTTATAAAACTTGGCCAATGTCAAAAGTTACATAGTATTTCTCAATACAATGAGTTAACAAGAGTTTGGCAATAAGTAACAGTGTGGATTTTTCTATATTTTATTTTTTTTATTCCACTCACAACCCAAAAAGGCCAGTAATGACTCACAGGGCTCTTATGTATGCAAAATAAAAACTTAAATGACCTGTTGTGGTGTGTTTTGCGCACAACCAGCATGCATCGTTAACGCAATGGAAAATTTAGGTATCCGAGCTTTAATTTCAGGAGCGCTGGTTGCGCTTTGGGAAGAGTCAGGGGAGAGACATGTCAGAGACACAGGGGAGAAACGCGGGAGATACGAGGGAGACCCGCACTTGCAACATGGTTCTGTCTGCATATGGTCCGAGCTCGGTACCATGTTAGAGCTGTGCTTTCACTGAGCGCCGCGGCTGTCATTACAAAGCGGCAGCAGCTGCACCAGGACGTGCACATTCGAGTGCATCGCTTGAATGTGCTTAGAGCAAATAGCAGCAAGTGCCCGCTGTCACACATTTCACAGAAATCACATTATCAGCAGATAAGGGTTGTAAATCGTGGATCCGTGGAATATTTTCATCCCTAGTTTTATCCTGATTCACACAACACACCCACTTATACATTTTGGATAGTAAGAGCACAATAAGTATTTTCTCAGCCTTTCAACCAACCTGTTTCTTTATTGGAGCCAGTTCTGTTCTGTGTCTGTGCCGTGTGAGCTCCTCGGAACATTAAACAGTGCGCTGACAGATTAGAAATAACGTAAGTACTTTGAATGGTAATAGATCTACAGTACTTTCCTCTGATTACTCACGTGCTACAACGCTCAGGGAACGAAAAAAAACACTTGCTTCACGCTGGCTAACTTTTAAAAATTAAACAGTTGCTCAGTGCTTCAGTTTGGCGCTGAAGAAGACAGCCAATCACTGCAGAGAACGGAACGGGTCACGTGCTGCTGCTGCTGCTGTTGCTCTGGAGGCGAGGAGGAGGCGCGACGTATGCACAAACGGAAGACATGTGTCCCGGACCGTCCGGGTCACGGGACATCATGTCATTTTGGTGGGGACTTTTTAGTCCTCACCAAATATTGGTGGGGACATGTCCCCATGGTCCCCACGCAAACCTACGCCCTTGGGTTTAACCCATTGGAGCCTGGGGGAATTTTGGGCCCCCCCGAAAAATGGAGACAGGCATTCAAATCGAGCAGCTCTATAGACAAATAGAGGCTCAGATTTTGAGTGGTCTGGATAAAAAATATAGGAACAAGGCAAAACGAAAGGCTGTGAAAGCATGGGAAAAAATACAGAACAAAAGGGTCATACCTGAGTATATGACAGCGTCCGCATTGGCTAAGATATTGCGGGAAGAGGAAAATAATTTAAAACAGGATAAACTTGAGCTTGAGGGAAAGCAGGGAAAGAGTTGGAATGAGCGTAGAAAAATTAAAAAGGAACTAAAAAAGGCTGAGAAACTGAGGACCAAGGTACATAACTTTGCTTTGGCTGCCACGGCGTTGGCAAAATTACCTATGGTAAGTAAAGACAAGGAAACAGAAAACGGAGCAATGCCGGTGAGTAATATATACCCATCCCTACCCACGGCTCCACCAAAGTATTCTCTAGGTTTAGAACCAGGTAAGCCAAATCTAATATTGCCACAATATACATTTTCAGGAGAAGTGGCGGTAGGAAAGAGAGGGGACAATGACTTTGTAGACAGGAAATTTGACGAAGGGACAGAAGAGGAGTCTGTGGGGGACAATAGAGATCCGAGTCAAAATCCAGCTGTCAGCCTCCCGCCACAGCTCCCACACACCCCTCACCAACCCCCATCTATTCAAGAGGAGCTCCTGC